GGCAGAAGTAACAAAATGAAACTTTGAAAGGAAATCAGAGATTATGAAGCCTGCATATCACAGATAAGACGTCAACATACAAAGTTAAAAAGCAGGCAACATATCCTTAGAGTGATTCAAAGCGATATTTCTAAAACCATATGTCAATGGAATGTGAACGTAACTCGGGGGACTGGAATAGTTCTCCTTAATTTTCGAATAGTTGAGCTAAAAATGAAATATATATTTTCTTTTCCCTCACTATACTATTTTATTCAAATTTCAGACCCAGTCTAGAGGAAAGTATCTTACTGTTTAATGAATTCTCTACGCATTTAAAATGTTTTAGCACATTAAATTTAACATTTTAATGAATATTTTATATCCGTAATCCATAATGACAAAGCTTGTGAAATTACGGAAATATTTTACTAAATTTTACAATCGCAACTTTGATTTAATTTCTAAATTCAATAGTGATTTAAAAACTCTTCTGCGACAAGGGATTAGCCAGCCTGTTTTTTATGGCGATGTGATTTACAAACTTCGTAAGATTTTGGGTCATGGTAATTTTTCTGCTGTTTTTACTAAAATCATTAAACGTTTTATTAAAAGAGGTTATGACCCTACTATTTTAAGACATAATGCATGTTTAGTGTTCAACCCTTTTACAGTTGGACACTACGCTTTCCTCTTTTGATTGCATCTGACGGACCAAGTGGGAGACTCTATGATGGATAGTTCGTAAAGCCCTTTGGGACTGAATTGTCTTAATGTTCGTCTTCTGCCTTGCTTCGTCGGGCCCTTGTAGGTGTTTTTCTTGTTGCTCTGTCTTCCTTTAGGACATTGAGTACTTTTGTTATGGTCATTGGGTTTACTTTTATATGTTTCTACATGATCATTTTAGTGTTTTACTTATTTAACATTTTGTAACCATGACAACTGTTAGAATTTCACTTGGCGGGGAGTAATTGTATTTACACTGTCTCGTTTATATGAACATGGTGGGGCTAAGAGCGAAGTTTGGTGCACCATTGACCGGTTTAAACACCCCAGCAGTCATAATTAAGCTGCTGACCGTTCCAAGGCGGCGCCCCACTCTGTTCCTCAGATGTATGTCTATGTTGTTTCATACTGTTTTGGTGACACTTTTGCTTGTGTCCCTTGTTGTTTTCTTGTCTACGGTAAGTATCTTCCCCATTGCCTCTTGTTTTTATTTCTTTGATTAACACCCCCTCCCTTCCCCCGGTCTCCTGTCCCCTTCCCCTTTGTGGGCCATTTATTATTTTCTTTGAATTCCTAATGAGTTATAAATTATTGATCATTTAATGTTTGACCTGTCCGTGCTCTGTCTTTGCCCTGTCCTGTTTTTGTTTGGGGTCCGCCTGGGCTTCTTGCCATTGGTTCTTGTTGCTGGGTCATATGGGGGTTGCGTTCATTGAACGCCGCCTTTCCTTGTTGATCTTGTTTCTCTTTTTTTGTGATTCAATTGTATCATATGTTAAGCCAATGCTGCAAGTCTGAAAGCCCGCTCGGATATTCAAAATCAACAGCCTGCATAAGAAAGGAATTTTCTTATTTCACAAAGAAGAAGAATTATTTGAAAAAAAAAAACATGTTAGAGTGAAGAAACCTACAATAATGATCTCAATGGTGTGTTTGTTTCAAGAACATTACCTCAATGACTGTGGAAATAAATCTTGTCTGAGAAATTCTTTAAGTTAATAAAGGGATATAAGTATTTCCAAATCAATGCTTGTGTTATGGGTCTTGAACATTGACCTACAAGTATAATCCAAAAATCACATTTTAAGTCTAACAATGAATGTTTATGGCCAAGGAGAAAAGAATGCAAACAAATCCTAAACCAAAGGCTAGCACAAGGTCACCACAAATACCGACTTATATGTCTGTAAATTAGTTTCTTATTCTGTGCAAGTCGACATTTAGATACACATGCAGGACATTTACAATGAACAGCAAGATGTATCATTGCTAACCAATTCAAAAAATTGTACAGTGAAAGTTGAGAAAACCGGACGGCTTTCGGACCGGTGGTTTTGTCCGGTTTTCTCAGCGGTCCGGTTTTCTCAATGTCCCTTTCAGGATCATATATACCGACCAATAACTTACCACGGATGCCTGTATATTTGCATTTTAATAATCATGTACGTTTATTTATTACTTATTAAAGGAATGATGAAATACAAAATAACATGTTTCATTTTCTTTTGACATTATCGCATCTAAATACAATAAAATTTTGCATTTAAAACGTACAGCAGTAACCTCATAACGATAAAGTCTGGTTATATCCGTATATGTTTACATTTAGGTACTGGATAATGATTAAACAGACACGTTTAAGATAAAATGCAATCAGTAAACATGTTTATTTACAAGAAAAACCACACTGTTTTAAATTAATTCCACGTATAGACAGCTCTCGTCGAATTAATTTTGGCGATGGAATAGAACTTTGCGCCTATAAATGTGTTTTAAAACTCTATCTTATTTATACTGACTTTACCTTACAAATTCCTCATGCATTTTGGCATTAATGTAAATCTATACTTTACAATAAATCAAACTGTGAAAAGAGACAATCAGTGTTCCGTTACCGCTCAGTTAGCGTATAAGAGACAACCAATTGACAAGTACAAAAGGTTATTCACACCTTCGCCGTCCGGTATTGTCAGGGTAATTATCTATTTATCTGACATCATAGTCCCCTATCAACCGTCCGATTTTCGGTTTTCACAGATTCCGGTATTGTCAATGTTTAATGTAATAGTTTAATGAAGGGAAAATCTGGGACCAAATTAATCGTCCGGTATTTAGGGAGTTCCGATATTCTCAGCGTCCGGTTTTCTCAACTTTCACTGTATAATTTAATATATCACCATCGTTATATTAATATACAACACAGAAGAAAATACAGATCCAAAAAACATTTTGGTATATGAAACTTGCTGCTGGCTGACATAGACCACTTACCCCTCAAAATAGTCTAGTAAAATGGGCTGATTTGCAGCACTATATATTCATGGAAGAATTATTATGATACTTTATAGACATGTTCAACATTAAATGTATTGCTACATAAATGATCCAGTTCAAAGGTCAAGGCCACACATAGAGTTAATTGCTTTGCATTTCTATAATGCTCACATGTCCATCAAATTCTATGATAACAGGCGTATTTCACGACAATCTAGCCCTTGTTGCATATCTAATGCCCTTTTTGTCTTTTTCTCAAAAGCCTATATAATAATACATTCATTGTAATACTCCCTTTTATCTTATTTGTATTTGTTGACTATAAAAAGCCGGTATTTTCAATGTATGCATGTTACAGAATTGTGCCCCCCTTCTCTATGTTGTATTTTTTTAACTATCCAGATTTGTGACAAGTCGAGCGTACTGTCTTGATAAGTCAAGTCTTTGTTGACATCTTTACCCTGCCTCTTTTATTTATAACTGTATTTTTACTTAGACTCTTACATAGCATTTCTTTCGACCTTTTGAAAATGCCTAGATATTTGAAGGTCAACTTTTCAAAATACTGGAAATTTGTTATTAATTCATCATATTTGAGATGCGGGTATCATGTTTATGGAAAACATCTTGAATTCCCGAAATCTTAAAACAATTAAACATTCCCTTCATTTCTTGAATTTGAAAATTTGACCGTCAAAGTTAAAACCATTTAGGATTCAAGATTAAAAAGTCACAAGAATTTTTGTCTTGCAAATGAGATCATATCAAGTAGTCATGTGTGTATTATAATTTGTATACAGACAGTATCATACGACAATATGCCATGACGTTACTCAAGGCAAACCAGTTAGGCTGAAATTAGGAAGAGCATCAGATTTGTAATTTAAGGGGTCATTGGTTTGATCCTTGGACAAGTCAAACAATTTTCGTAACAACTTTCTCAGATATTTAGTCTTATGGTCATTTTTCACAAACTGTTGACTCAAAAATCATAACAAGTGGGCCATGACTGCCTTGAAATCGCTCACCTGTATATAGGCCCCCAGGAGGGGGCTAATTTTGACCCCAAGGGTTTTTGTTTGAACAAACTTAGTAGACACTGTCTAGACGATGTTTCATGCCAAATATTTAAGCTCTAGCTCTTTTGGTTTTTAAAAAGAAGGTTTTTTAAGTTATTTCTTTCGGTTGCCATGGCAACCAGTTTTCTGCATGGAATTAATTTTAAAATGGACTTCCAAAGGATCATTCCTGTGAAGTTTTGATGAAATTGGCTTAGCGGTTTATGAGAAGATGTTGTTTGAAGTAAAAATTTACGAACGGAGTGACGCCGGACGAAAAGCGATCACAAAAGCTCACGATGTTACTTTTTGACAGGTGAGTTTATTAGAATCTATCATTGGGCTGGATAGAGGGTGATCGGTTCCATCGGGAACCTTATACATAGCATAGGTACCAAGTGGATGTATTATATCAACTATTTTGCCTTTTCCACCATTTAAACAGCACTTTACTGTGTCACCATCACGAAAATTTACTTTTTCCATCTTATTTGTTTGGCGTTCTTTCTATCATGACAAGGGAAGTAACTCCTATTCGTTTACATTATTAAGTTATGCTGTATTACTTCCCTTGTCTTGGTGCGTAGGAATACGAAAAGAAGTTCTCACGTGGAGTATGAGATCAGCCTATGTGAGATAAGATTTTCCAACACCGCTATTTTTAGTAACATTTAGGGATTTTTCTATCTGGTTAGTGCGAAAAAACTTGCTGGATCAGTCGTCGATTGCTTGCGGAGAATCTGGTAATTACTTTTTAGTTGTCCAGAGGAATAATGGTCAGGTTGATCAGTCAGAGATGTGACAAAATGTGTTGAAATCTGCTTAACACTCATTAAAATAAACTGCAGGTATAGAGTCGAAAGCCTTCAGATATCTGTGTTGATTATTATGAAGAACTTTCATGTTATCTTCACTTAAAACTGTACAAGTTTTAAGGAAATATTAATGAAAACAGAAAAACAACATTTTTTAGACGCAATCTTTATTCACTCAAACTGTATGGCATTTCCAATCATTTAAACAGGGGACAGTGTTAAAATAAGTACAGAAACAACATATAATATACCAGAGATATTTTTTTATAATACTGCACGTTTGTAACATAAATTTTCATTGAACAATATTGTAGTTTATATCATCTATATCCACAGCTGCTGTAAATTTATTCATTAATTTTCATTCAAATAAAAGAAAGCCAATAATTGTGCAGCATTATAATTTTGTAATTAAGACTTTTGCCTAGTTATATGATCATGTATAAATAATAGTTTGCTAAGTAACCCTGGCCTAAAAGCTCATGTTATATAAACTTACAGTTCATTTTAGGCCATATAACCTGTCAAAAATCTAAATACATAATATCGTTTATCCTTGTTATAATTCATTCAGATCATAAGATCGGGAAAAGTTATTATGTCACCTTTTAAGTCTTTTAAGTCTTTTATATGAATAAAATAATTTTCCAGAAGACCCGAAGTGATAGAATCTTATTCATTTTTGTTATTTTAAGATAATTGCAATTTTAACTAGATCATAGATACCAAAAGTAGGAAAGTTAACTGAATCTCTGTTCATAACACTTGTTAAATCACTAGCCAATCATGACACTTGTTTAAATCACTAGTCAATCATGACACCTGTTTGAAATCACTAGCCAATCATGACACCTGTTTAAATGACTAGTCAATCATGACACTTGTTGAAATAACTAGCCGATCATGACACTGTTTATATCACTTGCCAATCATGACACTTGTTTAAATCACTAGCCGATCATGACACTGTTTATATCACTTGCCAATCATGACACTTGTTTAAATCACTAGCCAATCATGACACTTGTTTAAATCACTAGCCAATCATGACACCTGTTTGAAATCACTAGTCAATCATGACACCTGTTTAAATGACTAGTCAATCATGACACTTGTTGAAATAACTAGCCGATCATGACACTGTTTATATCACTAGCCAATCATGACACTTGTTTAAATCACTAGCCAATCATGACACTTGTTTAAATCACTAGCCAATCATGACACCTGTTTGAAATCACTAGCCAATCATGACACCTGTTTAAATGACTAGTCAATAATGACACTTGTTGAAATAACTAGCCGATCATGACACTGTTTATATCACTTGCCAATCAGGGCTGTTAAGGTACTCAAGATAAAAATAAACAAGTTAAGGTACTCAAGATAAAAATAAACAAACAATCTATAATACAAAAAATGTAAAGAACAAAAATAATTTCCATTCATCTTGGTTTGTAATATCTTAAATCTCCTTCCTATTCTTTTTTCTCATTTTTTATCATTTAAAAAAATCATATATACTTGCCAAAATTTGTGCCAGAGTTACAATCTAGAATTTTGTCTGGAGAAATATATCAAAGAAAATTAAATAAAAAATGTAAGATAGAGCTAAATTAAAATTCAAAATCTCTGGGTAAAGTTTAACAAAATCATGAGAGTACAGTACTTGATATTAGAGTTTCCTTATTGCTCTTTACTTACAATTTTCGTTATTGATGAGAGTCGTATAATTGTTTTTAAACCCACGGCTTTCGTTTGCGATCTGGATCATTGAATTACTTAGTCCCTCATATTTTCTAATATCTATTATCAATATCAAATCACGTTTTACGTTCTCACTGCTTGAAGTAATTCCAAAAATATTACTGTTTTCTGGGTTACATAACATGAAATCACTTTTTTGCGAGCCTTCAAGTATGAGAATAGAAAAAGTATATTTATCACTACATCTGATTTAGGGGTTCAGTGCATTAGATATGACACTAGTGGACCTTCGAACATCTTTACAGTCTTTACTTTAAATTATTTAAAAGGAAGATCTATTCAACACACTTAGATGCAAGAGATGATAAATTATGCTAGTACTCAAACGTTTTTTTTCCAAGAGTCTTTCAAAGTTGAAAGACCCTTGATAAATGTATCATACAGAAATGTTCAAGAACATTACTTTAATTCATCATATCAAATTAAACTATTCTAACTTATGATCAATTATTTTGATCACATTAAGTAATTCAAGAAGTTGTTGAATACTGATAAAACTATTCTTTCGTTTTTGGCTTTTTGCCCTATGCAGAATGTGCATTGGAGAAATGCTACTTTTGATTCTATGGAAATATCGTATTGTAAAAAAGGTCTATACTCCTAAATTATTCCATTCTATTGTTTTTTTTACATCGTCGTAGCATTGACTGCTCTCCTAAGTCGTTTTCACTGACTGCTTTCCTAAGTCGTTTTCATAAGTTTCTGATTATTTCCAAAGTTTATATAACTCATCGAACACATTTAATTTATACAAAGAAATAGGTTTGCTTCTTTGTTGAAATGCAGGAACTTAAGTCTAATGGTTTTAGCATTTTGTTGTTGTTGTTGCTGCTGCTGCTCACTGTTGACGGTTATAAATAATGCTATTATGTAAGAGTAATTTTACATTAAAGGCACCATAGATACTTTATTTGTACACAAGACTAAATGCTGTTTTTTAAATGCAATTTTAAAAATCGATCAATTTAAATGAGTATACATTTTGGCGCAACTATTTTTCGAAGAAATAAATAGAGGTTTTGTTACAAACATGTTGGTGTTCCCATTGCCATTGTACGTCGTCCCCAAACTTGTTATGTTGATCACTATTTTTTAAGTTCATGGTTTATTGTCTTAATACTAGGCCACAACAACCATTTGGACAAAACCATCAAGTAGATCAAATTAAAATTGTCCTTCCTTCCTTCCTTCATTCCTTCATTCATTCATTCATTCATTCATTCTTCATAAATGACATTGACCTTCAAAGTGTTATGTCTAAATTTTCCTCGAGTTTTGCTGTTTTTTCTTTCCACAAGTCGTAAATAACTTTGTTATTTTTGAAAAGATTGTCTTCAAACTTGAACATAACATTTTTAAGGATAAGTCCTATATGCATATTTAACTCAAATTGACCTTGACTCATACACGTCTTTGACACTGAATGTTTTTGATAATTTATATGTGGACTATCTTCATACTTGGACAAAACAATATTTTGGACAGGAACTTCTAAAAGGTTGAACTGACCTTGAGCAGTAAATGAACTTGACGGTCAAGGCAAAATGATTGAATTTTGGTTTAATTGTCATAATTCCATTATTTATGTTCAGATTTGATTGATACTTTGACAAAACAAGTATTGCTTTCAAACAAACAAACATATTGAATAATTTAGATGTGACCTTTAAGGTCAAATTAATGAAAATATATTGTGCTTCCTGTAACTGGCAATAACTTTGTGATTTATGAATGGATTAACTTCATATTTAGACAAACACATTTTAGGTCAAATTTATCTTGACATAATTTATAACCTTTAAGGTCAAATTATTGAAGTTTTCACCGATTATTGCCATTATTCGCGGGAATTTGGTAATTAATTTAAGGATAACCTTCAAACAACCCTTGGAATAATACCTTTTGAAAGGTTGAACTAACCTTGACATTGAGCTTTAAATGACTTGACCTTCTGGGTCAAATGAATTTTGATCAAGTTGTCATAATTTTGTTATATATGTACTGATTTGATTGATAGGTGGACAAAACTACAATTATGACCAACAGACATGTTGGATAATTTAGATAATGACCTTTACCTTTAGATGACATTGACCGTCAAGGTCAGAAATTTGTTCATATTTTCTTCATTTCGTCATTTATTTATCAAAGTGGTACGAACTTGGACAAAATAACATGTGTGACTAGACAAACCTATCTAAATGAAAAAGGTAAACCTCAGGGTTTTTTTTTAATTTTCTTTTTCAAGATTTGTTGACACTGTTTATTTGTTTAAGTAGAGCCTTGTGTTGTATCGCAAATTGTGTAGCGTATTATTTTCTAGTTATGGTTGTGAACTTGTTCTTCAATGTTTAAGGCTGGGGCATTCTCTCAGGCTATACGCTGTAACTGTCAAAATCTAAAGATATAAAAAATCGTCTTAAGCTTTCTGATTTTATTTTAATAATGCTTTTTTAATATAACTATAAAAAATTATAAGAAAAATGTATAAACAATTGCATGTCAATGTATTTAAAACTGTATTCAATTATTTGAATATTTAATGCATAATAACAACAAGTTAATCGAAAACATAAGTAACTTAACAATTTTCTTTCTAATACATATATACAAAACATAATTCTTTGTTACCTTTAATATAAAATAATTCTTTATTATTTATGATTAAATTATGCTTCACTCTCACACTTATACATAAACAGTAAAAAAGTACAAAAAACTTGTTTAGATAGTACAAAATATTTCTTACCTAAAAGATAAAAAAATTATCATAAGCTTTCTGAGGTCATTTTAATAATGCTACTTTGCCAACATTAGGAAACGACAAGCTTAAAGAGGTTGTGTGGGTCATAAGACATCTAAAGTGTTAACGAATGAAAAATTTCGAAAATACATAAAATTATCTAACATGTATATAACAATCTGTTTACAACTGACAACTTGTTTTTCAGACTTGTGAAATACAGACTAATTTAAGTTACAACTTTATTGTTTCAAATATTTTGTTGACGTTTATTTGTCTTTTAATTTGTACATAATGTGTCCACATCTTATTATATATCCTCGGGCAGATAAAAACACAATGATTCATTCAATAACACTATCTGATGAACAATTTTAAGAATACCATTTAATGTTTTCTTACAACTATTTAAACTGAATAATATTTCAATAATGAAAAATATATTTATTATATCTATACATTGTATTTCCATTATAACATCTATATTTTCATGTTAGAACACTACTTCTCCTTCTAAAACACTTTATTCCTATACAGTTAGATAAAAACATAGTAAGAAAAAAATGAAAGTAGCAAATGTATAAAACAGTAACTACTCACATAAAAGGTAAAATGTGTTGTTTATTATTGTGGTAAATTTAGAAAGGGAGCC